ACAAAGCACAGGCAAAAATAATGCCACACCTCCAAAGAATCAGGCATCTTCTGTTGAACCAAAGCTTTCCAGGCAGAAGTTAATGATCTAGATAGGAAACCAGGTCCTTACACATACCCTCTATCACCTAAGATAAAGTTTCACCTTGACTTTTACCTTGTGCAATAGCTCAAAAAGACTTTTATAGTGTAGCAGTCATCCCACTCAGACTCAAGAAATGGAAAAGCTGTTTCACAGCCTGCAGAACTGCAGGAGCCATTCTGGCAGCAAGGTGAAAATGAACTTTCTTAAACTCTACATGACAAACAGCAATCATTCTGATCTTCTCCTCTCTACTGATATTGGTGTACCTATTTGGTAACAGCATAACTGTGTCCTCAGTTGTTAATGACAGCTTTGTAAGCAAGTGTTGCAAGCCCTTATGGCTTTTGATATGCCTATGTAGTGGCTTTTCTTTCCATTTCCCCTAGTATGTGCCAGGTTACAGAAACACTTCCAAACAGCAGATTCAGAAATAGAAAGAGTTCAAGGCCAGGTTTCACACCTGCAACCTTGCAACTCAGGGCTCCTGCAGCCCTGAAGATCAGTCTCATTATTATAAATCCAAGATTCCTTTAAGATCTAGGTTTGATGTTTGGTAATTCCACATTAAGTTTATGTTTTTTACTTGCTTGTTTGGGACAGGAAGGGATGGGATGTTTGTGATAGGAGGAGGAGGGGGAGGAAATAAAAGCTTTGGAGTTATATAATCATTGCAAGTACCACTTTTTATTGCTATGGGCTGATTTAATAATATGAATGCCACGCTAGTTAAGACAACTGTATCATTCCAGTGCACACAAAATTTAAAAGGAGCTGCTCCTATTTAATACTAATGTACAATTCACACTTCAGCTCCTACAGGCACATAAGATGGTAATACAATTCTGGCTTAGAGGACTGGTTTATGTTAGCACAAAATTTTAGGAGAAAGAGTTCAGCAGCAATTCTAATTTTAATTTCTTATATAGGGATTCTGCTTTCTAAAACAGTATAATTTTCTCTTTACAGCAGCAGCAGAAAACTATTGCAAACAGCCCATACACCTCTTGAGTCCCTGAGTGGAGTGATGAGAGATAAAATATCTTAAAAACAAAACACAAGTTACCCTCCCCAACATGGTACAAGCATGTTATGCACACATGATAGATTTTGACTTCTAAAGAGTGCTAAAAGAGAATGAGGGATCAGGAAAGCACTATGGCTTAAGAAACATATATTTTGGTTTGTTTACAAAACATGCAATGTTGTTGGATGACTTGCCATGAAAGACCCATTTCCTGACTTCAGATGTGATTTAAGCAATTCTCAAGCCCATTGTCTGCTCATCTTGGATGGACTGTAATATATTGCCTACCTTAGAGAGACCTTTTCCTGCTATGCTCTTCCAGCAGCCCTGCAAAATAGCTTAACAATCTCTAAGTCTCAGGCACAGAAGAAAATGAAGAAAAACAAAAGACTTTTAATTTGGTATAAGATGAGAAATAAATAAATAAAATCGTAAGAGACCGCATATACCTCTGTGCTGCCCTCTAAAAGAAATATAAACAGACCTCTCTTCTGATATGTACTGATTTTCCAAGTGGATAACAAAGACCCAATGACATTTGTAGAAGAAAAGAATAATCATCTCCTTGCTCTAGCCAACAGTCTTTCTCTCTCAGGAAACAGAGTAGGCAAACTTCTTTATATATAGCTGATATATATATAACTGTGTAAGCCACATGTGTTTCTGCATCTAATTCATTCTAAAGTTCATTCGGATAGTAGACAAAATGCTATAAAAAACAAAAACAAAACAAAATCAAGATTTCATTTGAGAAGTCGAGAAAATTCTGGAATTGATCCTAACATAAATCTAACATACATCCATATTTTGCTGAAGCAGAAAATTTGGGGATGATGCCACATCAGCAAGCAGCTCATAATCCTCATCAACTGCAGTTCAAATCAAGATACTGAAATGTTGAAGAACTTCAGAATGAAAATTTAAATAACTGGCTTACCATGGAGGAAAAAAAAACTTGAAGGAAAAATGGATGGTATCATCTGTGCCTTCACCTTGTTTTTCAGGAAATGAAGAATGTTATTCTAGCAAAAACAATACCTGAATTGTTTGGAAATAGATTTAAGATCATCTAATTAGTGCATAAATTTTCCTTGTATGCAGCATCAGAACTCAGCTAACTACTAGAAGACAAAATAAAGATTTTAATCAAACATAGTGTGTGTTCTTCAAGCCATTGTACCTATGAATATTTACTTCAGCTACAGACCTTTCTGGGTGGTAGCTGCATACATTTTGTGTGTAGCTGAGAAGCTTTCTGACTGAAAATGTGCTTTTAAAAAGAAAAAACTGACTTGAACCCTGCATTTTCAATTCTAGCAGTAGGTTCTGAAGCCTGTTAACTCCCTGCAGCAGCTGATAGCTAAAGACTTGTTTCCGCTTTTCTAACAATTTCCTGGTTTGCATAACAATCCTAAACGAAACACACTCAAGTTTTCCAGCATGGAGAGATTTTGCCTCCAAAACTAGTTTCAAGGCATAAAAAATATTTATATATAATTACAATAGCTTTAAAGGTACATTGTCTACAAATATGTTTATGGATAAATATGCATCAGCTACTTGGTTTAAAACAAGATTATGATAATTTGGCCATATCCAGGAAACACAAAACACTGGCTTATGCCTGGTGCTTAACTCATGCCATTGTGAATAAAGAGGGGGAAGGGAAGGGATTTAATGTTTAATTTCCTGTTAAAAACACACACAGGATAAAATCTTCCAAAGAGCAGTTATAAAACATGCATTTGTTGGCCAAGAAACTAGGTAAATATGGAACAAAGCCTAGACTCACTTTTATTCCCCCACCCTACAAAAGACGGTAACTGAAAGCCACGGTGCGTATCTGGAGGCACTGAGCTCTAGGCAGTGACTACCTAATTCATCAGGCTGGCTCACCTACGTGCTAAGCAACTAGCCCATTGGGGCAGATCCTCCTGTCCTGCCAGGCTGCAGCTCTGCGACGATGTATATTCACACTGGCCGCGGCACCAGCTCCTAACCCCAACTCCTCATACAACTATATGGCCAAAATGCAAATAAAGCAGGCATATAGTCCAGCCTAGTCACCTCTCTCCTTGCTAGAAACTGTCTTCTGATATTGAGAGCTGCTATGGGACACTGCTAGCTTCAGCAGCAGCTGGAGATGCTAGAGAGGCCATTTTTCAGAAGTCACAAGGAGAAATGATTATCCTCAGCTCCCACAAACTCAGTGCCATACATCACAGAGCCATAACTTCAGAGTCGCAGCAATTCAGCCTTCATCACAGTTCTACCATCTGTAATGATCTATTAGATTACTTGGCAATTCACCACACTAACCTTCCAGACAAGCACCAAATTTCTGTATGACATACAACAATTAGAGGCCTGCAAAAGTCTCTGCTATTCTCTCAGTTCAGAATGCTTGAACTAGGTGAAAATACAGAATGTATTTAGGAGCACTTAAAGTAGTTTTTAACAGTAACATCATTTCTTTGGATAACACACTAAACAAACAAATAGAATGTATTTTCCATCTACCAGGCTAGAGTTGAAGTCAGTTTCTCCATGGCTACACATTGAGCCATGGAATTGGAAGAAAAGTTGCAGCACTTGTCACCCATTGATTCATATTCAGAACAAGATTTAGATAACCCTGGGAGTGGCTTAATTGTAAAAAAATAACAATAATAATAACAAAATTATAATTGCAGATATAGTTTAAGAGTTTTCTCAGCCTTCAGTAGCATATTATTTAAATTAACATGCTTTAAGCTTTTTAAGTAGAGGTACCTTGAACACTTTCTAGTCAATACATTTACTTTCATATTAGACACAAGAAAAGAAAGGAACAAAGATTACACGTCTCTAGCGAATTAAACTCGATGGCAGACATGCGAAATTTCTTGCAGACTCTTTTTAAAAACAGGTTTAAGACAATAAGCTGTACTAAGTTTATTTCTAAAACTTGCATTTCAAACTGTTGTTTGTGCTCTTTCTTTATCAAATTGATACCCCTGTTAATACCCTGTTGACTACTGATTCAATGACAATTCAACATCAAATCTCATACTACTGCATGAGTTCAAATCTCCTGCTTATTTTCACATGCTGGCAACTGGACTTCGTGCCTTGATCCTACTATGCTTCTTCAAGAGAAAGTTTAATTGGCTAACAAACTGAGGAGGGAGAAAGGGAACAGGGTGGAGAAAATCTCTAACCTAAAACAAGCTCTGAGTTGTTTTCTCACTACTGTATGTGCCCCCAAGCAATGAATTTTTTTTTTTTTTTTAAAAAGAGAGAGATTATTTTTCTGGCCAACAGTCAGAATATATAAGGTGCTATATATCCTATGCTTCACTGTGCATTGCTACTGCAGACTCCATACAAAAAAAACATTTTTTTTCTCTTTTTTTTTAAACTTCTTAACAGTCAGGTAAGTCTATGAGTATTTACTGCTAGTAACACCAAGGTATTAAAGATTCAAGTGAAGTAGTAGCATTCTCTAGCGCAGTGGTGACCTGAGCCTTTAATCCAGATGAATTTAACACTAAAGTGCATTAGCTCTTTTCATAAAAGATTTGCTTTAATTTTATTTCTCTCTCCATTTATCTTATGGCTGTGTAATCTTCAGCAGAGGTCAAAGAGATTTCCCTAAAGAAATGGGAGCTGCTTCTTTTTTAGAGGGGAAAAGCGTATTTAAGACAGTTTGTCCTACTTTTAAATGTATGTCAGAAAACTATGCTCTCTATAATCTCCTAGTTCCTTCCCATGTTCCAAGCCAATTAAACAAACATGCATGTGCATGCACACACATATACCAATGAAACATGAAGCAAAAACACCTATGGAAGACAGGATATACAACAGCAGCAACCTGCTGCAAAGACTGAAAGTGTAACTAACACCTTACCATCATCCAGCTCAAGACAAAGATTGTACACAGCCAGAGGCCTCTTATTACGTTGCCCTTGTCTTCTTGATTGCCTTGGTGGGGCATTTGGAGGAGATACTGACGTAGAGATTGGCTCAGGGAAAGCGGCATCAGGCAGAGTTTTGAAAATCTGCAATCAAGAACACAAAGGGCTTCAATTATTTATCACGAAGAGCAACCTGCGTAATGCAACTGTAAACCGTTATCAAACAACATTTGCTTTGGATTTCATCCAAAGCAGGCAGGAGCCAAAAATCCATTCCTTCAAGTTTGGGAGTGTGCCGTAGGTCTTTAATGAATGTTTAAAAAATAAATAAATAAATAAGAAATTAAAATAAGCAAGAGCATTACCAATGCTCTACGCATTAACCAAGCTGCAAATCAGTTAATCCACAGACAAAATATGTGCAACCACACTTGCCAGCTAGGATAGAGGGGGAAGGATAACTATGAACTAGTAACCAACATGTTTTGCACTTTTACCTAGGACCTGTAACTTTGACAAAATACCCATTTTAATTTTCAAAATTATGGTATCATAATTTCAGCTAGTTAAAAGAAACTGCACACTTTCAAAGAGAGAGAAAGGAGGAAATTCTGGACGAAGGGATTTTTAGTAAGAGATATTTGTAATACTGAGCGGTAACTTTTTCAGTTAGCCATTAGATTTGAATCATATTTTTATTAATGATGATATGCACAAAGGCATATAAAGGACTGCATTTTCTGTCATTTTATCTTTTCAGTCATGACCATTAACATATCACCACTCCATAAAAAACACCAGGTCATTTTTCTCTAAATAAACCAACAACATGGATTTTTTCAAGTTGATGGCATTTATACCTTAACTGCCTCATACAAGGTCCAACCTAATGATGCAGATTTACCTGTAGAAAATTATCAGTATGCCAAAGCACAATTTAACAGCGTTTTACAACTGATAATGGCAGATTCACATGAACAAATTAGCTTAACTGTTTCTTTCATCAAAGACAAACCAGAAGATAAAGAAAAAACAAACAGCAGCTGTAGAAAAAGGAAGCCCTGTGTCTGTAGGGCACCTTAGAGCAACACAACAGATAATACACCAAAATGTAATGAAACAGTATGCAGTGTTCCTGTACCCTGCAATTTTCCAAAGCCACGTATCTGTATGGGAAATACTACAAAGAAGAGATTCATAATGAATCTTCAAAGGAGAAGCTTTTAATGAAGTAGAAATTCATGCAGAAGGTTAGAAGGTATAAATAGACACCACAGATAACACATTTTTGGATTATTACAGCATGTCTCAGGTGCTCATAAAGCTAAAAGCCAGCCAGGCTACACAATGTATAAGGAAGCTGCCAAAACCACCTTCAGGTAAGCAACTCGCGCCAGAATTATAAGAAACTGCATGCCATCACATCCTAACCTGTTATCCTGAATAGGTGGGCAGGAATTAGATGACCCAAAGACTTACATATACCCAGGCTATTCTCTTACCATTAAGTAGTTACTTAATGATCATTGACAGCTAGAAGACCGTGATGGCACAAAACAACTGACACACCATTTTTTTTCAATGAAAACCAGGGAAGAACAATCATACTGCCAAAACCAGGCAGCAATGGTCAGGAAGCCTACGTATTATACGCAAGGGAAAGCTCCAGCAGAACTGCCACTTTCTCTTCCAGTGGGTGAATATTGCCCTGGGGAAGGGGGAGGCAAAATGATATAAAGTGAACTTCCCCATATCAGGTTTTAGAGCACTGGTTCCTACTCTTTTATGTCCCTGCAATACTAATTATGAGAGAACACCAAAATAACATTCCAGACTCTCTATAAGCAAACAGAATATTTATACAAAGGAGAAGGGAAAGCAGTGCAACCTGCTTCTCCCCAGTGCAGATGCAGCTTCGCTCACAGACAGTCACAAAGCTCTAATTGTGCTCACAGTTCTCAAGCCGTTTCTTACAACATGATGCAATATGCAATAAGGAAGTCTAATGCACACCTACAAGACACTTGGCTAGCAGTACCACACTGCCCCCTTATGTGCAAGTACAAGGCAGAGGAATTTTAGGGATAAATACTTGCTTCTGAAAAATTCAAGAGTACCAAAAACTTCTTTTGCATAGACTAAGTGTCTCATTTGGCCTTTCTGGTAAGCAGCTCTCTGCCAAGAGGTTTCAGCATGTTGTTTACTGTGTCACATTCCACAGCTGTGTTTATTTGTACAGCTTTATCCATGCATCTCCACTGAAATCAATGATGGATGAGAAGAACGTGTATTCCTCAGGAGCACTGTGCAAGAGATGAGCTCTCTTGCATGCAGGTGACTTGCACAGCTTGCAGTAAAGTTCTTCAGTGTTTTTTCCTGATCTTTCATGAATTTTTCAATATACTCTTGTAAAAAATATTAACATGAGAGATTACGAGACTCACAAAATGCAGTCAAGAAAACCATAAAGGCAATTCTTACTCAATGATATCCAGTGCTAGAGAAAAGGACAATGAACTGGAGGCAGCTAATGAATCCAAGTGGATTTCTGGCTGGTGGAAAAAAAATAATTGGTGGGGTTTTTTTGTTGTTTTGTTTTATAGAAAAAAAACCCTACACAACAAACAGGAGAAATAACCATAAAGCACTAAAAACAGACTGCAAACTGTAGAAGTCCATGCACATGCTAACTACCTGCACAATGATATTCATGCCAGGCAGCCATAAGTCCTCCAAGACACTATCATAGTCTATAAAGCAGCTACCCCTCTCTTCATAAAACAGATTTTGGTGGCAATGATTTTTTCTTTCACTGTTAGGAACTTCTCAAAAGATTGTCATTTCTCTTCTAGCTGTGATAGGCTTTACCACTCCTAGCTCTCCCTTGAACTGATCATAGCCACCCAAAAGCTGAGAGATGTGAGAAAGCATTAAACCCTAATAAATCCTTCATTTTTAATATTTTAGGCCAACTAGTGGCAGAGAGTTGTGCACCAGCATTTCCCAACAGCACCGTTCTGCGCAGCTCAGCGCTGCCCAGTAATGATGCTGGGGTGATTCCTGTCAACGTCGCCTTCTGAAGGCGGGAAGGCATCCTACCCTCATTCCACTCTCCAGTTTTTGGCATGACCCATTAATAGTGAAGTTTCATTTCTAGGATAAGGTCAGTAAGTGGTATATCGTTTTCTAAGAAGCTGAAATTGCCTCCTAAGAACTCCTGGATAGCACAAGACACACAGCTCTCAGTAAAACCAGGGCAGGGGTACAAATAAACTCCCACTTTCTCACTCCTACGTTTCTCTGATGCAGTGTTATAAGCTCTGTCTTGCTTTCTGTCTTCTTGCGCTAACATTCAATATCTGTCACCACTGAGAAAAAAGAGGGTCATGAAAGAGGTATTTAGAAGTGCAATAGAGAATGCAATCTTTTAGATATTTGTAATTTACTCATGCAGGGCAAATTGAGCCTAATTGTCAGACTCAGCTCTGAAATCACTGAGGAGAAGGTGTTGTCCTGGAGGACTCTGAGACAAAGAAACACCAGGAACGGTACTTGAGCTGTTTGGCTGGTTTTGGTGTAAATGAAATAGCAGCCTGCCCTTGTGTGCTACATCAGGACGAATATTTGGGGTTATTCTTCCTCCTTCATGTTGCTCATATTTGTGATCACTTCTACTTTTGTCTTTTCTGTCTTTTCAGTGGGAAAATGAAAAGCAACACGGTCCTTGCATAACCTTGCTGCCTTTTCAACATTTTTTTTTTTCCAGGTCAAAGCTACAGCTCATAGCACCACTTTGCAAAAGCAAGAATCAGAAAAGCAAGCAGAAGGTCAACCTCTGCCCTGAGAAGAGCACACACAGCGCTCAGGTTTTCTTTCTTGCTTTCTTTGAGTCTACCTTCACTTAAATAGACAAGTACTTTTCATCATGCCTTAATGGCCATTTGGCTCTGGCACTGTAATATCTCCCTGGAAAGGGGGGGAGTGAAAGCTTTATTGCTTTATTCCAATTGTGAGAACAGATTTTCTTATTCAGATTTGCTCCTGGCCTTATTAATTATTTAAACAGCATTTAAATATAAATGTTTCACAGCTAATAAAAGTTTTAAGATGTGTAATCAGAAGTACACTGCATACGCACAGGAGTTGGGATTCAAAATAATACACAAGTAATATAGTCAGAGGACACCTGAGAAGATTCCTGCACTTTAAGCTAGCTGCCAACAGTATGCCAGCACACCTGACAGTCTCAGAGTACCTCCTTGCTTTGCAAACTGAGGCTACTGTGCAGCATAGTGAGACAATCTCTCATATCCAGTGGGATGGAACAGGGTGGGATCCTGTTCCCTCAAGTAAAAATCTAGACCTACCACCATCACTCATTTGGATCACAGAAATTACAGCATCATAGACTAATGCCTGCATAAACACAATAATCAAGTCTGGTCATTGAATTGCCTCATTCAACAAAGAATAAAAATGTACCAAACCAACCTCAAAGGTTAAGGACATCACAGTCATATCCACTGTTATGTAGTTATAGAGACTTTGATCAAGCCGAGCTGAATTTATAGAATATCAGACCTCTACAATTTAGTTCTCAGGAACATTAGCATCCTGCCATTAATCTACCTGGGGGAAACTAACAGAAGCAACTTACAGACTGGAGAAAACTGACCTAAGTAGCACTCTCAAAATTCTATCAAGCATCAAATTCTACCACCAGTCACTCCTATACCAGTTAGTTTGTATTTTAAATGGTTGTTTAGGTTTGCTCTTATATGAAAGCAGAATTTAAAGGTGCACACTCAGGCAGCATGTCAGTCTTCAAGCCTGCAGCATAAAGCTACTGCAAAAAAAAAAAAAAAAAAAAAAAAAAAAAAAAAAAAGAGAGAGACTCTTGCTGAGCTATTTCAAACCCTGGTATGTTTGACCTATTTCTCCATATGCAACAGCACAAAATGGGTACTTTGCAGAGCTAAACAAACCGCTAACTATCTTGCATATGTACCGCTAATAACAGTCCTGTCCTGAGGAATGAGACCAAGACCACCAAGTCCAGCCATTTCAATTTCTAAACTTAGGTTCCATGGAACATAGACTAAACTTAGTCTACAGAAACATTTCTTGAGAGTAATGTGCCAAAT